CTCTTCTAAACCGCTGCTCTGTAGAACCTCTCGACTGGACATTACAGATGTAGATGAACAGATGCGGGGATATATTCATCATTTAACGCGAGTTCCTCATTTTTCTGGACTGAATAAAACGTGCATTGAATTTAAGGAAATGCAAACGTGAGACGTCATTTATATTTGACCCATCAAAATGAATGCGGTCATTTATTTACAGAATCAAATTTAACATCAAACATTTACATTAATTTGGCAAATTATGAAAATAACAATAAAGCAATCAATCAGGAAAAATCATACGGCCATGATTTTTCCGTTGCTGCACCACAGACATTTATAAAACTGTACAACTATGATCTTTTGCCCACATGAATGTGGGTGAGCATTTTACACAGACATTTCTAAATATCTGGAAGAATTTCTACTTGATAGAAAAGTTTAAAGATGGGAAGAAGTTTAGAGGGAGTTAAGATTGAATGGGAGGGGAGGAATGTTCGCCAGAACCGACACTCTCCATCAGAAGCCCAGCTCGCCTCGGTACGCTTGGTAGGAAACTTGACCCATTACCTCTCTGATGATAATCAGCAGATATGGTGTTCCGTTAACGCTACCGGTCCAGCGTCTCCTTAGAATGGCTGTTGCCCGTCAGAAGTAGTGGCGAGGCTCTGTTCGACACACATTCACCTCAGTGGAAAATGTTATAATCCCATGGAACTCGGAAGAGCTTCGTTGTCATGTCAGGAACTCCAACAGCACTCCATCAGAACTTTAGCTCTCGTGTAGTTTACAGAACTCCCACAGAACTCTTGAAGTCTGACAACTCTCCAACTCTGTAACTCCGTGAGTCCGTGAGTCTCTGTGAGTCTGTGTAGACCAGGAAGTACTGACATTTTAAAGGCTCTTTCCCGGTTCACTTTTTGGGATTTTTCATTGGTCAGAAACGACCAGAAGGGGTGTGTTTTTGTGACGTAATAGGTTAGAGACAGCGAGAATTGTTATGGGACAGCTCAGAAATGTTCTCACAGACCGAGAGGGTTCTGTTTTGGCGTGCCTAAGACACAGGTGCAAAACATCTCTATTTACGTCTGAGAGGATTCTAAAACATGACAGTTTTAACATAACAACTTGTTTTTCGTTTGACTGTAACCTTGTAAACGCACACACTTGCTCATTCAAAAGCAGAAATCAGAAAAATGCATAAACTCTGCACAGCTTTTAACATGAGAATAAAATCATTACTCAGTTAATAAAATTGATTAGTTCACTGCAACATCTAAAATGGTTTGAACTAAGACACTTTGATTATCAACATTTGTAAGATAGTAATGATAATAAAAAGAGAGTGTTCTTTTCACTTGAATCTTCAAGAAAGAAAGTCTCAGGATGGGTGAACCTGTATCTATGTATTCAAATACATGAAATGACAGCTTCTATCCCACAAGGTTCTAAAGGTCAAGAGTTTTGACCTTAGACTGGGTTTCGACGTAGGCTTAGTCCACTACACAGACAAGAAGAGAATCAAACCAGCATGACATGAATAATTTCACTTTGGTTGCAACAGATGACTTGGAATACTTAAAATATTTAATTTATGCCTCAGATGTTGCAGAGGAATTATAGATAAAGACTTGATAAAGACACAGTTTCAGTTTGTTTAGCTCCGGGGTATAATTAGCAACGACCCCCACCAGGTGAGACGCCTGAGGCTAATGCACCTCCATGCCCATAATTATAAAAGGACTAAGAGGAAAGGAAATATAAGGATGGAAGAAAAAGTAGGGAGTCTGTGAGAACGAGTTGCCAATTTTTTAACGCATCGTGGAAGACTCTCAAATGAGAAGTATGGGACTAAAGAGTGACAGGGACAAATTAAGAGAAGAAGAAATTTCAGGTTAATTATGTAAACATGTACCAACGAGACAAGTTGCACAAAAGGACAAAACACTTCAACTTTTTTAACAGCTGATCTTGGGAAATAATGATTAAAAAATGGGAAACACAGCAGGAGTTTTTTTTTTTTTAAGGAGGGCGTCAGGCGATGTGACAACAAGGCAGGTCGGAGGGAGGGGGAGTTTGAACGGGGCAGAGGGAGGAGATGGCAACAGCTTTCTGTCGGGCACAGTAGGTTAATTTGCTCTTGTCAGAATGAGGGTTTTCCCTCTAACCGTCCTTATCTTTGTTGTCCTCCTGGGTGTTGGTGTCAAACCGAGAAGCTGTGCGGATCCCGCCTCGGTGCTGTCACCTCGCCAGTTTCAGCCTAGAAGTGACAGAGTAGCAGCTTTACTCTGTAATCCTGTAATTATGTCAATTAAAGTGCCGAAGAATGGAATAGAGGAAAGGGGGAAATAAATGATAAAGACAGGAAACTACAGGTACACACAAACACATGACAAAGGAATGCAGGACGATAACGAGACAGTACTGACAAAAAGAATGCTTGCTTAATTTTATTGCGATAAGCTCTTTTTTTTTTCCAGCTGGTTAAAGGAAGCCAATCTGTGTAAACTAAATAAAAAGAATTGACAAAGACAGAATAAAAAAGAGCAAAATGGAAATTCAGGATGAGTCAGGCAAGAGGACAGAGTCTTAAAGTGTTCTACATTACCTCAAATAGGATTTATAGCAGACATAAAGAGGGATTACACAATAATACACAGTACACAGTCATGTACAAGCCACCATCCTGTGGAGGACCAGCGCAAGTTGTTACAATTTCACAATCTTTAACGGGGAAAAAATGGTAGAAATACTTACCGTTTCCACAGACACACTCATCTGGAATATGTTCTTTCAGAGTAGATAAAGGAGATGTCAAAACATGTTAAAGTTCACATGTAAGGTTCAGAAAAGCTACGTTTTATTCTCCATCTATGTGTTTGACATTAGAATGAATCTGTCTACAGCTAAAGTACACCTTTATGTAGATGACACTATTCTTTACTTGTCACTTGTCTAGTTTAAGCTAGGCTGTTTGGGAACTTCAAACTGTGTTTCAGCAGCTGCAGGCAACACTGTGAGGCTTAAAGTTAGTCCAGTAAATGTGATTTAAAATCAAATTAACTTAAAAAAAAAATAAAATCACTCCCAGAACCCATTACCTTGGTGTTACCATGGGGCAGCTGTGGCTGAGTGGTTAGAGCAGTCATCCTTCAATGCAAGAGTTGGGGGGTTTGATTCCACCAGCAGTCACATGCTGAAGTGTCCCTGGGCAAGGCACTGAACCCCTCATTGCATCCGATGTGTGTCCCATTCGTGTATGAATGTGATAAAGCACTGATTATTCTTTGTAGAGATCTAGTAGAGTGCTGTATGAATGGGTAAATGAGGGCACAGATTGTGTTGTAAAAAGCTTTGAGTATCTTGATAAAATAGAAAGGCGCTATATAAGTGCATTCCATTTACCGTAAATATTTTTACCTTGTAAGGAGCCTTTATCCAATAAGTTTCATCCTACAATTATTTGGGCATTTGGCATCAAGGTTCTTTATTGTCATTTGCATCACATGTGAAACATGAGGTGGAACGAATTTGTGTACCCAAAGTCCCATTTACACACAAAAATAGCAAAAATAGAAAGTATAAAAAGAACAGGTATACAAGAATCTAAGATATATGCTAAACACTAATAATGTAATATAATATAGTATATTAAAGAGCAGCCTGAACATGAGTCTGTTGTGAGCAGATGGGTATGAATATAACAGCTTAAAGGCAAGAAATCAGGAGCATGGATAATCAGCAGCACAAAGTCACATATCACCATTTAAATGGCATTATAGTGATTTTTCTTTCTTCTTTTTCGTAGTGATTTTTCTGGTTAAGGATTTTGTTAGGGAGTCTAACAGCATCAGGGTAGAAGCTGTTCCTCAGTCTAGTGGTTCTACACTTAATAAGTTCAACCTCACTTTATTGTTTATATTCCACATATTTTAGTTATTTGCATGACGCTCAATGCGATTAACCTGTCTAAATAAAGGTTGAATGAAAATTTCACAACCAATTCCTTCTTTAGGAAACATCATTGTGTACTTAGGAAACATCATTGTGTACTTTATAATCTGGTTTCTTGACCTTCTTTGAGCATAAAAAGACAAGAGCACTGGTGTATTTTTAAGTACAAATCAATAGCTATGTGTACACTAACATTTACGGTGCGTACAGAGCTCTTCCTCACCCCATCTTGGCCTCTCTGACCACATCTCAATCCTGCTGGCACCAGCATATCATTCGATGATGAAATGGATTAGGCCAACAAAGAAGACAGTCACTGTGTGGCCCAGGGATGTAGCCTCTGTGCTCCAGGACTGTCTTCAGTTAACAGATTAGCAGGTCTTCAGAGAGACGGTTACATATGAGGGAGAGGTGGAACTGGAAGAATACACCTCCTCCGTTCTTGGCTTCATCTCCAAGTGTGCTGATGATTTCATCACCACCAGGACTGTAACCTGTTATC